GTATTGTATGAATGCATGGTAAGAGCACATGCAGGTCATGCTGAGCTTACCAATTCAGGCTGTTTGTGAAACTAAGGTTTACAATGAGATTATTAATACCACATCCTTAAAAGTGGTGGTCTGAGGCATTCATCCCTGCTACAAAATGGAAGTTTGATCTAGGGAAGATCATGAGCTCATTGTTTAAAAGAAATACATATTATCACATCATTTAAAGAAACTTTACATCAGCACAAAATTATATATTCCACCAGCCTTTATTACTCTATGATTTTATAGATTAAGGAAAAAAAGAATACATCAATCCAGCATGCTAAGAATTATGCACTTATAAGCTCTGTGTTTGTTAAATACAACTTATGGAAATCAATAGTTCCTATAGTGTCTTTACCACAAGTGTACAAGAAATAATGTTTTCTGCCCCTTTGGAAAATTGCTTGGAAGAATCAGTCCTGTCTTCTCCAGTCATCATTGATTTTTGTAGAAAAAAATAACAGGCCCTTGTTCTCTCTATGGTACACTAACAAAGCTGCCTAAGACTTCTATAGTTTCTCTACAATGCATGACATGTTACATGAGTCCCCAAGGTTATAACTAACTGTGTAAAATATACACAGACTTAATGACTTTGATCCTGACTCAGAACTCACACACATGCTGCAGGGAAACACACTTTACTGTAGAGAACTGATACTTCCTCTCTCACTGCAGGTACACAAAGCATTGCTACAATGTGCATTTTAATGCTAAACTAAAATGCAGCATGGCTCAGGAAGAAATGCTAACCATGTCTTTCCCCCAGTTCACAATTCATCTTTACCCACTAACAGCAAAAGAAGGAGCACATTTGAACCAAACTGCCAACTACTTAAAATCACTGTAGCTCACAAACATGGTTGACAAACCACAGGCAAGAAAACCCTACTGCCTTTCTGTTTCAAGGCCACTCCCTAACTTGTGTCAGAAGACAATGGAAATATATCCCCATTTCTAAATCACAGGAAAAAAAATCTACCCATACACAGGGATTACTTGAAAATATTCACAAGAGCAAAGAGTCTGGATCAGATTTTCAGCAGCCTGACATGCCCCAGTGGAGGCAAGTGGTAAGAAACATCATGACACCCAGTCACCCCACCTTGTATGTGCCCTGGAAACGTTACTTGGCGTTCTGGAGGACATGGAGTCATGGGAACATTCTGAAACAAGAGGCATGCCATTGGAGCAGAGAAGCTACAAATCAGACTTTCTGGGCAGATGGCACTGCAAGCTAGCAAGCTGATGGCAGATGGAAGCAAGAGCTTGGATACGGCAAAAAAATCGGCTGCAAACTAATGAGGTCTGTTAAGATGCTAGAGACAACTACTCCTCTTTTCTGATCCCTCTGCTTCAAGTGAGGGTCAGGTCAACTCCTCCTCCCACAGAAATCTACCCAGAGCCATGAGGAAAAGGTAGCTTGGTTTCCCTCCAAGAGGAAGCCATCCAGAGAGTTACTCAATACCAAATAAATTTACAATTTATATTTCAAAAATCCCAGGCTCTCATGAAATTTCCGAAGTCCAGAGCCTTCTACATACAACCTATAGGCCCTCCAGCCTCCAGGACAATATAAAGACCAGTATCTTACCAAAGCAGAGAAGCTTTCAACAATGGGGAAGTTTAAAGCAAGGAATGATCTTTAATAGAAAACTGCTTCAGAACATGTTAACTGTGGTGAGGATTTGGTCTCGGTCCACACTAGAACCAAGGTTGGCTTGGTGCTCCCAAGGAGGCTCCACCTCCTTCCTGCAGCTGACCTACAGTTCCTTTGCTGCTATGGGATAGAGACAATCTATAACTCTTCATGACTGCAGAATACTACTATCAGAAAAAACGTGGAACACTTCTTAAGATGTTCATGATTACCATTCCTGATGCAAAACACCCAGCTTTTCCTCTCCAGTCACATACACGCACATACATGTATTTCCTTGTCCTCTTTCAGACTCCTCTGGTCCTTTTTTAAAGCAGCATTGTTGAGACTAGCATTTTTCCTCTTCTGATACAATTCCCCAGCAACATTATCAATCTTTGTGGAAGAACACAATACAAAATTATCTACTTCAGCAATGAGACTAACCTAAAACAGTGTAGACTATGTGAGCTTCTAGAAGATAGCAGCTCTCACAAGCTTCTACCATTACTTGTAGAATCTTAGAGATTTATCCCAAGATATATTACAAAGGGTGAGGCCTTTCTTGCCAGCGTTGTGAAGTGCAGGGATCTCACGGTGTTATAAACTTCTACAGCTGCCTTTTCTAACAATTGAGGGGGTTTTTCTCCAATTATACATTAAGCAATAAAATCAAGTGAAGTGGTAAATGTATTAACTCCATTGAAAGCCTTTGGAAAAAGGAGGGTAAAGCTGAAGACTTGTGTGGGAAGCTAATGAAAAGGGAGTACAGCAATAACACAAGGGATTAACAGGCTCTCAGCAAGAACCTGCATTTCTCAAGGTACTATGAAATTCTTGTATCCTAAACACACACATAAAAACATCCACACAACAAAAGAAAACTGCTATATACCATAGACACAGACATGCACTGGTACAGCCCCTCGTGCTCAGAGCAGACACAGAAATGACATAGGTGAGAGTAAGTACATCTCATAAAGGAGCCCACAGGAAACCGGGTATTCATATTCCAACTGAAAATCCACACTCTCACCCATCTTCTATGCAATCTCCACCAAGTCTCTTGACCTTTCCTGGGACTTCTCTCTCTGTATCCATGTGATTACACAAGCTACATTCCCACAGAGATGAGCTACATTATTGGCTCCTTTCTGATAGGTGTTCCATCATTGCTCCCTTCTCATTACATGACAAATTTCAATCCCTGGCTACCAGACAAGAATGAAAAAAATAAATAGAAAAACAGCAAGTCAACATCCCATACACTAAAAAACAACAAAAAACAAAGCCAAGAAAAAACACTACCCCAAGTCTACAGAAGTGTTACAGAGCAATGACAATAATGGGTTCTCATGGACCCACTCCTGACCACAAACACCAACTTCAGCTATTTTCAGATGTTCCCTTTATTTGCAGCTTACATCTAGTCACTCCTACAGCATCTCAATTCCCCCTTCAGCTGCAGAAGATACACAGTGATAAGCAGTACATAACTGCAGAATAACAGGAAGTGATTAAAAATGCTACAACTGCAATCCTGTGACAGATTTGATCTGTAAATCTGTGTTCTAACTGGAGAAACACTTTTTAAAAGAAAGGCTACTACCATTACTGTGACTAGAAACTCGTAATTTAATGTAAGTCTTGTGATATTTTTCTTAAACTTCAGAATCCTGAGGCATATTTGGGCCTCTTCTGTGTCCATCTCTTGTGGTTACAGAGAAAAGTGCACCTCAGAGACCTGAATTTCAGAAAGCACATCAAAATCAGCCAGCTGTATTTATCTATTCCAATTGTTCTTAAACTAATCTTATGGCTTTAAAAGAATGGAGGAAGCTCAACTATTTGTTTTAAACATGTGCAGAAGTCAGTATTGCTTCTGGAGCTCCAATTCACATGCAAGCAGGTTTTTGCCTCAGTCATTTTATCATATAATTGTGAAAAAGTTCTCATTCATGCTAAATGGAAGTCTCCACCAGAACTTTCACAGGTATCTTTCTGATCTAGCTTCTATAATTTTGTGGCCTCCATTGCCTTAACTCCAAGTGTGCTGACAAGTATGTGCTCAGACATGATCACACTGATGCATCCACATATATGGAGGAAAATGAAAGAGGAGTGGGAAAGAATAATATTTTTTAGATTCATCAGGAATCACTATGTGTGATACAAAGATCCTTTTTGTATTCTTTCTTGTTTGTTAACAACTTTGCCAGACAAATCAAGATCATCATAACTTTGCAGATGCAGAACATGGCAAACTGACTCACAAAGTTCTTAACAAGAGAATGGGGAAGCCCTTGGACATCAAGAGGATACAGTTAAAACTTTGGGACCCACACACTTTGAGCTGTGCTCTTCCATTCCTCTCTCAGGAGTGTGTAAGCTCACTAGTGACCCTCAGTCTATAGAACTGGCACCTCAGTATCACAACAAACATGTGAGAGAGGGCAGGAACACTGCTCCAAACTCTCCTAGTGCCTGGGGCTGACAGCATCCCAGAACTCATGCTGGCGAGAAGGAGCACACTCCACTGCCACCACAGAGTTTATCAAAGAGTCACATTAAAAAAAAAATCTGAACTTTAAATTAACTTGGCTAGTGCCATTGGCAAAATGTCTCATCTCCCACACACCATAAACCACAGAGAGGCAAGGAGAGAGAGCAAGGAAATACACACTGGAAAGACAGATGGGAAGATGAAAGCATTGTGGACTAACACTCATACTAAAATGCATCATCCATTCCTGCCCTCAATCAATTCTCTTTGCTTGGCCAAGATAGACATCCTGAAGTAAAATGGATTCCAGGGTTTCCATATTACTTACCTCATCAACTCCCTCCACACAACATAAATTCCTATTCTGAATACACAGTTTATCACTAAACTAGCAAACCACGATTAACAGTGCAACAGAAATGAACATAAATCACTGAGCTCAGATGTCATCTAAAACACTGCATATTTGGCTACCCATAGTTTCAAGAGGAGCACACTCTCATGACTTGTGCAATACACATACATCAGCTGGACAGAAATGAATAATCACCAAAGGAACAAAGCTACAGAAATTGAATTGTGGGCACACTAGTCTCACAATGACCCTAAACATGCCTTTATCTGAACATTACCTTTTGCCTTTGATACATAAAATCATGTCATTATGTAACACAATAAACCCCATTTCTACACAGAACAGTCCTGATTTTTTGGGGTTTTTTAAGTTTAACACTGATGTTTACACATCACCACAGCTTGGTCATGACAAAACTACCCAATACATCTCAAGAGCTTATAGGACACTGCAATGTCTTCCCATCTTACCTGGCTCTGTACAGTTCTTCTCTTCATGCGTCCCGTTAGGTGATGCCATCAACCTTCTATTCCTCCATATTCCTGATATAATGCTTCTGTCTGCAACAGCTGATTCTTGGCCTATATTAAATAAAAAGACATTATGCCCACTAGCATCAATTTTTTCCTGCATCATCCCAGCTGGACTACAGGTGCCACGAACAAGGAGCATGGACAGACCATCAGAATGCAAATGGGGCAAAATCCAAGGTGTGACTGGAGCACATGCCAACAGACACGTGTTCCTAGCTCCAAAGGGTGCAACTGGGTGCCACATCAGAGCTGTTGGCATGTTCTGGCTATCAGAGCTACCAGAACACTTGGCTGTGACCCACAGCAGGAAAATATTCTGCAGCAAGCAAATGCTGAAGCCTGTACCTGTGAAAGTCAACACTTGCAGCTCCTATAGATGAAACCAGCCCAGCTATGCTGACATGAGCAAAAATCACACTTCCATTTAGTCATCTGTACTTGCACATATTACATTACTGCTTTCATGAAAAAATAAAAATGCATATGGATATGTTCCAGTTACATTTTAGTTTGTTCTGAAGTTTTCAGTCTTGGCTATGCTTAATAATATCAAACCATTCCTAATTCGTCAAAGAAAATGGAAATCACAGTGAATTCTCATAAGACTTTAAAAAAATAAAAACTTTTTTAGAAATCAATGGAGCTTTTACCATAATGCATATTCCAGAAGCATTCTCAACAGAACCTGTTAGATAGAGTACAGGAGCACTTAGGAGATCATGTGCCATATGCAATTATAATAACCAAAGAAAGAATAGAACCCCCTTAATTAAACCACTTCCACCTCAATCTTATCCATTTCAAATGAACATATTGTAATAACAAAAATTCTTCCTTGGCCAATTTTAGAGTTTATACTGTCATCATGTAATGCCTGTGTTTTCTTAGTGACTCCTGAAAAAATGAAATCTAGTTCGGAAGTTAGTTTTTCCAGAATTAAATATTCTGAGCCACAATTGTAAGAAACATAGACAACAGATGGTCAGTGTTTATGGATAATATGTACTGTAAATTAGCCAGCTGAAAAAAACCCCCTACCTGATACAGCATACTATCAAAAATTAGGTTATGAGGGATTTAGTTGATAACCCAGGAGATTAAAAACTTTCATTAGTCATGACATTTTTCATGAAAACCTAAAAAAAGTTTTGGAAAACAACAACTGCAACAAAAAACATCCCTCAAGCTATGCAAACATATTCGTACCCCCATTACTTGTTTCCAAGTTGAAAGTTTTAAGATGAGCAATATGCTAATGTGGTCTAAGACACCGAATTCTTATATGGATGGCTTGTTGCCATCCTAGATACAGCTCAAACAAGCCAGGCAATAATTTGAGCACAAGAGCATTACAAACTATGACAAGTTCCAGCAGATTTTTCTTCCCTAAAGCACACACTTGAACTTCAGCTTTAATTTCAGCAGATGACCCATCCTAACTGTGCTGAAATCTGAGTTTCTTATATTAAATGTAGATGCTCAGTGATGGGCTTAGTCGATTTTATTCTTAAATCTTCGAGGACTTTGGCAGCCCTACCCAGAGACCCAAGCGCTGTCCCAGCAACCTTACACTTTGCATTTGAGGGATGCAAAGCATATTGGAGGATGAGGGCCTGAAGCTGCATACTTACAGCCCAAACTCCTACAGCCAGCAGGCAGAGGAGCAAATGGGAATGATACGGTTAATCATAAATGCATCAGTTTACCAATACAGCACATGCACAAATGATGCAAAAGACTCTGTTACAATACTCTCTCTATAAAACCTAAGATTAGCACCATTCCCAGCCAAAAATGCAGAATTTTCTGTCAAATCTATACCGTAACGGGGGAACAGGTGTTGGGGGTGTGTGTGAGATTGAGAAAAGAAGCAGCTATAGCTGATGATGGAGGTTTACAACCTGAAGACAAAACCAAAGGCAGCCCGAAGTTGAAGAGGGAACCACAGGCGGCTGGAGAGAACTCCACTCTGATGCAGCGGCAGGGGGGAAACTCCTGCAGGGCCGCTCGGAGGCACAGCGCTGCCCCGCGATGCCCGGGCAGTGTCCGAGCCGAGGGGCGCGGCCCCGGGGAGCCCCGGACGAGCAGGGGCCAGCGCCGCAGCTTCCCCCTCACCCGGGCAGCGGCCGCGCATCCTCCCGGCGCGGGGCTTTCTCCGGGGGAACCCGCGCTGCTCCCCCGCCTGCCCGCCCGCCGGGGCATTTCCACTGGGAGCCCCCAAGCGGGAACAGCCACCGCCGCCTGACCCCGCCGAGCCCCGGCAGCCCCGGGGCGGCTGCAGCCCCCGGGCCGCCCGCCTGGCCCTGCCGGGGTGCGCCGGTCCCGCCGCCGCCGCCACTCACCCGCTCTGGAGAGCAGGCTGGACATGCACCAGGCGAAGAAGAGGATGGCGCAGATGAAGCCCAGCTGCTGCAGCAGCATCTCCCGCCTCCTGCGAACTTTCCTCAGCATAAGCAGCATGGTCTTCGGAGGGGCGAGCGGCGTCTCCTCCAGCTCCATCGGAGCGACCGCGGGCGCCGAGGGGGCGGCCAGTGGGTCGGTGGGGAAGCGGGGATCACTCCCGGCGGCTTCCCGCGGACGGCTCCATTTCGGTCGGGCGCAGCGCGAAGATAAGCCGATGCCCAGGGCCTCAGGTCGGCAGCGGCGCAGCGGAGGGAGAGGCAGGTGGCGGCGGGCGGGGAGGCGGCAGCGGCAGCAGCCCGGAGCGGGGGGGAGGCGCCGCGCTCAGGGGCCGGGCCGAGCCCCGCGCCCCATGGCCGGCGGCGGAGGAAGCGGCGCGGCGGCGCCCCGCGCTCCTCGGGCAGCGGCCGCCCCACAGCGCGCCGCGGGCTGCGACTCAGCGCCGAGGCACGGACACATCCATGCGGCTCCCTGCCCGCCCGGCCAAGTTTGAAGTTTATCCCTTTCCTCCCTCCCTCCCCCGCCGCCAGCCGTAGGCGGCAGGTGGGCGACTCAGCCGCCGCGGTGACAGCAGCTGCCAGCGGGCTCTGAGCGCGGCGCCGGGCGGGCACTCAGCCCCGGCGGGCGGCTCGGCCCCTTCTCCCCGCCCCTCTCCCGCAACTTTCTGGGTGCTCCTCCGGCACCCATGGCAACGCGCGTGTGCCCTCCCCCGCCGCCGGCCCGGGGGGAAGGCATTAAGTGTTGAAATTAATCCTTCTCCCCGCACGGCGCAGGAATGCCCGGCTCTCGGCGGCGCTGCGCGCAGGGCAGCGGGCAGCGGTAGGTGCCGCCGTGCCGAGGCGCGGGCCGGGGCCGGGTGGCCTGAGGGCTGCAGCGCCCCGGGGCTGGCGAGGGGCACCGATAGCTCGGGGCTCTCCACCTGTCTCAGGAGATGCCTTTCAAGAGGGGTTCCATGGGGAGAATGGCGCTTCTGCGCGCAGTTTGCGCTGCAACCAACGCGGGGTGCCTGGGATGGCAAATTAATGACCCATTTTGTGGAAGGGTGGTTAGTTCTAGGCTGTGCCACCGAGATTTCATTTATTTCTTTTAACTAAAATTTTATGTTTATATTAATTAAGGGGTTACTGTCAGCCAGCGAGTCGTGGGAACTTCCTCCTACAGCGCACGCATCGGTTCTGCATCCTCCCAGAAAAGCATGGGATAGCACATGTAGACAAACCGGGATTAACTCATCTGATCTTCTTTTGATACAGCGTTGGGTTTACGACAGAAGGCCTTTCAGGTGATTCCCTCTGGATCATTGTCTATATTCTTCAGAACATGCAACACATATCTGGCATTGTTTGTCATGGCTTTATAATTATAATACAAATATCCACGTAAACAAATAATCACAGATAAAATATCACCAATTCTCTGTTTTCCCATCATTGAAATGTGTTTTCTCGTTTTGCTTGTGAATTCTATCCACTACAGTAAGATGCAGAAGCACAATGCTCAGGATGCTGTGGTACACACTGCATGTGAAATTGCTCTGGATTCGTGCTGAAAACTGCCAATTGTCTCAAGTGCAAAAGGCATTACTCAAGCTGGAGAGCCAAAGAGGAGCAGTGGCGTTGGTGTTGTTGCTTCTTTACGTGAATGTAGCTACAGAAACTTGTGTTTCTTAACTGCCCAAGCTCCATGGGCACCTAGGCTCTTGTGGGCTTTTGACTTTCTGATTTACAGTAAAGCAGGAAAACATGTCAGAAGAATGGCACTGAGACATGCTCCAGTCTCCTCTCTTTCATTCCCTTTATAGCTGCTGAGAGAGAAATGGTAACTGTGAGAGCTCTTGCCTACTGCACAAAAAGGTAATAGAGAAGATTGTAAATCAGGTTATGTCTCTTGATTGCTCTCCATGGCCAGATAGGAAATCTCAAAGTTGAACCCAGAATAGTGAAAGCTACCCCTGACCAAAAATAGACACAGAGGCGATGGAAGCTGGATAAAGGCAACCGAAGGTCTTTAGATCAGCACCTTTATTTATAGTGGACTTGTTTTTTCATTGAAGATCTTTAAGCTCCAGTGAAGGTGTTGGTTGGCCATATCAGTAGAGATGTTACTTTATACCCTGTCAGCTGTTGTAATAGATGGGAGCTAATTCTCCACATGGCTTTCCATCACCTCATTTCTGGGACTAAAGCCTGCCCATCCACTCAAAGTGGCAATGCAAACATTAGTCTGCCATGCCCTTTTTGTGTGTTTAATGAGAGTTGCAGAGCTGACAGGACTGTAGTTTTCTGTATGAAGATTTTATCTAGCAATAGAAGGATGGTGACACTGGAGGAGATTGCAGAGATTTATTCGGTTTTTAATAAAATAAATTTATAATCTGCTTAGAATAATAGATTCATTGAGGTTGTAAAAGACCTGTAAGATCATCAGTTCTAACCATTAACCCAGCAATGACACATTCACCACTCAACTGTGTACCCAGGTGCCACATCTACACATCTTTTGAACACTTCCAGGATTTGTTACATGTCAGTTTCTCATGTGATTCCACCACTTCCCAGGGCAGCTTGTTCCAATGCCTGACCATTCTTCACTTATAAGGGCTTCAAAGAGGCTGTTCTAATGGCTGGGTCTCTTCCTACAACTGATGAAAGTTGCTTGTGATTTTTGTTACTGTGTTTATTTACTTATTTATTCTTTACACTGAAGACATTTTCAAAGCCTTGGCACCCCTGATCTGAAAAGGTACTGATATTAACTATTAAGTACTGATATTGTACTTACATGCAATGACAAGTTTGCCACAACTGAGGTAAATTTGTGTCTGGAGTTGTGTCTGCAGTTGAGGCTGTCATTCACAGATATTCCATATTTGTGTCAATGTGTTGTTTACCATTGTTAGAGGTCCTGAGTTTCACATGTGAGGGATTTTCATTAATTCTGTCGGATCCTATGAACATCACATGGATCAAACAAAGCACATGGTTAGTAACAGGAATGCTGATATAATATTGCCTGTTTTGACATAGAGCTTTTTCTTTTTCTTGGCTGTTACAAAGTTGTTTGGTTTGAAGTTAACAGTTAGTGACTATAGAAACCCTATGGCCTTCCCTGTGAACCACTGAAAGCAAGAAGCAAGAACCCAAACAGTGAGGAGTACTTTCGTGAATTCCTTAGAGAGGGGAAATCTGCTACATGAAAGCAGTTCTCAGTGATGGTGTGTGTCTCTCCCTTTCCTGTGTACACAAATGAGGCAGATCAAAGTTCAGACACTACTAATCTCCTAATCATACCAGCTTCTGATTAGCATTTTTAATCAGTCTGGTGATCACAGGGCAGCCTCAAAGTTGTTCTTGAATACTAAACTTTCAGAACAGAATTCCAAATCACTTTTATTTTGCTGAGGGTTTTTTTGAGAAATGTGTCAGGTAACCTTTTGTGTAGGGTGTCCCAAAGGGAAAAGGTGTGCTGCAGAATTCAGCTCCAGTTACCTCTCACCAGGAGGGTCTGTTTGAGTACATTTGAGCCATTCACATGGAGGTTGTTACTGGAACAATGTTCAGTACTGGAACTTTCATCTGATTTAAGATATCCATGCTGTGTATGAGGGTACAGTGACACAGTGTTGGGGAGCAAAAATGAAGCAAATATTTACTGCATAGGGTGACATTAGAGATATTTGCATTTATTTTTTAAATTTAAATTATTGCTATCACTTACAGCAAGAAGAACAACTGTAGATAAATTCAGCTAAGCCTTCCATTAATAGTCTCAAAAAAAAAAAGAGTAAGACACACATGGTTTTCTGAGTGATGCTTTCACAGTGAGTGGTTTGGTGATACTTCACATGTTCTGTTTCCAGTATAATCAGAACAAAATGTTTTCCAGACTAGGTCTAGGATTGCTGAAAGAATTATGTTTTGAAAATTAAAGGTATGTGAGAAACATTGTCAAAACAAAGTGTAGAGGAAAAAAATATTAAATAGCACTTGTCTTTAAGACAAACACAAGAAATAAATCTTTTTTCTTATTGCAGTGTTTATCATTGTGATAATTTAACTTTTGTGCATGTCCCACGCCAAAATGTCTCACTAGAAGCACATACTAATGTTAGTTTCATTTAGCACTGCCAAATGTGCTTGTTTTTCATCTCAAGCACAATTAGTGTCTTGAACTGAGAAACAGCCAAAAAGCTTTGAATTAGGGAAGTGTCTCACAGGAGATCCATGAAAGCAGCTCATCTGAGAAGAAAATATTGATGCTGCTGAGAGTTGAAGGAGAAGTATGTTTGGATTAATTTTCTATGGCACCCCCTAAAAGGATCAGAAAAGCAGCAGCATGGTGTGGTTGCTGGAAGCTGAGGCCCTGTTAGTTGGCCATGAAGACTGTTCCAGCACAGAAGAGCTGGGAAGCTCTGGATGGTTAGAAGGTGATTGTTTGTGACAAGTGCCCAACCAGCCCTAGGAGCCTTTTCAAGTCCAACTTTTCTGACTGATACAACTGGAATCCCAGTATCGACCCCTCTGTCCCATCTGCAAGGTCAAGAGGTAATATTAAAAAAAAACCAACAATGTTTCCTTAAAAAAGGACACAAAAATCTCCCACAAGCCATACAAATTTAACTGAGAGGAAAGGCACTGGTGGGAAAAGAGACTGGGATCCTGCCTTTGCTAGCTGGCACAGTCCATAATCACCTGACTGTCAAGGAAAAAGCAATCCTGTGTTTATTTAGGACCAAGTCCCTGGCAAAAGGAGGTACACAAATATGACTTTAGAATACAAACTTGGAGAAAGCAAATCAATATCTAAGTGTTGAACTGTAACTCCAGGCACCCTACCTCCCTAGGTGTGTATATATATCCAGATGGCTCTTTAAGCACTGGTGAAAGGTGCTTTGCTGAACCATATTTGACATTTAGAAAGCAGGTCCATTGTTATTATCCACTATATTACAGAGAAGCTTCGGCTGTAGTACTCAGGACTCATCCATGTGCTGAGATCCCCCATGTCTTTCTATGCATTCTCAGATTTTTTTGTCTCCCAGTTCTAATGGAGAGTTGTCACTTGTGTTATCACATGGTACTTTAGCATGCTTCAGAGGCAGAAGTATTCCTTAATAAAGAGTTATTTCTATAGTTTAACTCAGACCTTTGTTTTGCTTTCAAGGCTGTAAATAACTGAACTGTAAGCCAAAATTTAAATACTATGAAGAAGTCAGTCTCACATTGTAACATGGAACCACATTTTCCTTTCACTTAGCCAGCTCCTCCCTTGTGTTTTATGTCATGCAGTTTTCCTACTGCTGTTTTCTCTTTAATAA